CTGCTGCTTGTACATCCTCTCCACCACGCAGCGGTTGTCCTTCAGTCGGGACTGTTAACAACCAGTTTGTAGCACCTTTGCCCAGTCTGACTGACTGTCCTAATCTTCTTGCTAACTCAGGTGGCATTGGCACGCTTTCTGGTTCACCCACCTCTTCTGCGAGTCGACTTGCTATGGCTTTACATTCACAGCAGCATCTTCAGCACCAATACCATCATTCGCATCATCATAATCAACAGCAACCTCTACATCTCCACCAACACCTTTCTGGAAGCCACACTCTTGTCCATCAGCACAAATCGCAACAACCCGTTCGACTTTTAACCACAACTAGCTTAAACTCTTCAGGAGTACCCAGTCTCTCCATTTCTAACATTACAACCACTACTACATCTGCCGCAGTTATCAATACAACAAATATTACTTCCACAGCCGGTATCTCTCCAGGTTCTGCAACCGCCTTGTCTAACGTCGTCACTGGAAGTAGTAATATAAATGGACAAGCTGGTGGCTTGCCAGGCCTGATGTCATGTGAGACGGGCTATCAGATGGCGGCCCCTGGGAGCCTGACATCTGCTAGCCGGGTTTATTGTCGCAGTGGTGGGAAGACTTCGTCTTCTCTTCCTGGCGTCTCTCTGAAGGTGACCTCACTAGCTTCTGCGGCTGCTTGTGAACCAACTGGCATGTTCAATTTGAACGCTTCTGGTGAGCTAAGGATGGCAAATTGGATTTAATTTATTGTTTTAGGACGTTGATTCTTATCTAAATAAAATACTATGCTTTACAACAAGCACAAATATACTTATCTATTTAAAAAAATGGGAGTTTGCCTTATATAGTTTTGCTTTTTATTTATACTTGAGTCGAGGTGTTTATAAAACCGTTTATTAGAAGATTTTGATTTTTACCGACACTTTTATCACTATTTCCACAGATATTCCAATAATATCGAAATCACTTAAGCTACTTATTTGATCTATTTTTATACCATAAGCCAGTGGTTACCAAATATTTTCTAGTCACGGCGCCCTTTTCAATTAAAATTTTTTCATGGCGTCCCACTCTAAGTATGACTATTCGTAGGTAAGAGATATAAATTCATTCATTCATTTTTTTTACTTTATTAACATTAAATTAATATTTAATGATTAATGTGATGGATGAGCCTGCAAATCACT